ACCTGGCCACACCTGCCCCGCCCCGCCCCCCGCACCTGAGCCGGCCCTGCCCCGCCCCGCGAGGCGGGCAGGAGTGTGCGCGCACGGACACAGCTCTGGTCTCTCACACACACAAGCATGCACATACACACGCGGGGAAGCTAGGTGTGTGACACATGCTTGCACACACACGGGATCCAGGTGTCTGAGGGACACACACAGGGACCCCATGTGTAGAGGACACACGCATTCTTGTGCACGCGCCCCCCCCACAGGATCCAGGTGTTTGGGATATGCACACACAGGACCGCCGTGTCTCTCACTCGCGCTCTCCCCCACCCAAGCCCAGGTGTCCAGGCTGCACACACACACACACAGCCCTGGCAGCCTGGACACACACGCGCGCGCGCGCGCGCACACACGCAGGTGTGAAGACACAAAACCCAGGCATCTAAGACACGGACACACACATGCGGGACTCAGGTGCCTGGGCCGTGCGACACACAGAGATACTCACATGCGGGTCTGAAGAGACACTTGACCCAAGTGTCCAGGACACAGAGGCACATGCACACGCATACACACACTTGCGGTGGCACCCAGCCCTGCCCAGGGCTGGGTGGGTGCCGCAGCAGGAGGGGACTCATTGCCCTCCGACGCATGTCTGTTTCCAAGACACTTGCGTTCTGTGCGTGCGTCTTGGACACCGGGTCGTGTGTGCATGGGCGCCCTTGCCACCTGGGTGCTGTGCGTCTTACATGCCTGGGATGGGTGAGCGTGCACCCGCCACCTGGGCTGCACCTTGTCTATATGCACAGCAGGTGTGCAGGATGTGTGTCTGCATGTGCACATGCAACGCAGGCCCTGGGCTTTATTAGGCAGGGATCTCTGCCCCTATGAGGCTGACAGCAGAGCCTACACGTGTGTACACACACACACACACACAGGTTCAGCACTGGGCTGGGGCCGGAGGCCTGGGTTCATGCCCTGCACACGCACGTGCAGTCTGGCTCTGGCCCCCACTCCCCCCGCTGTGGCGATGCAGCCAGCTCTGGGGTGCGGCGCCACGCAGGAACACGTGCGAGCTCAGGCGGGGCGGCGCATCCGGTGCCATGATGCGGCAGACGGAAGATGGCCATTAGTGGCAGGCCGGTCATTCCTGGCTGCTCACAGGGCGGCCAGCTCCGGGGTGAGGCAGCCGCAGCATAACAGCTGCGGAAGGGTGCCAAGAGGCAGCCATCAGGGTGGAACTGAGGCACGGCTGCGTATGTGTGTGCAGGGACAGAGATGCACCCAGGTCTGGGGTGGAAAAACAGGTACAGCTGCATAGCAAGGGGTGGCGGGGGCAGACTAGGACATAGCTACCTACCACTCCAGGCAGGTGTGGGGTGGAACCGAGGCACAGCTGCAAGGCACAGCCTAGGGAGGGCGGATACAACCAGCTCTGGGTGCAAGGGGGTAGAACAGGGGTGGGGCAAGGCTTCCCTGGCACTGGAGGGCAGCCAGCACTGGGGTGGGGCAGTGAGAACGTAACAGCAGGGGACAGATGTACACTGTGCCCTGTGCCAGTTAGTGCTGCCCTGCCCCTGGGTGTAGCCAGGGAAACACACCCAGGAGAGCTCACCTGCCTTTGGCCCAGATGCAGCCAGCTCTGGGGTGCAGCAGCTACACATAGCAGCCCCATCATAACCTGGGGCTGCTGGGGGAGTAGACCCACCTTAACCCACGTTAACTCTGACACCTAATGAACTCATCCTCATTAGCCTGATCCAAATAACGACTTAAAGCAGTGGAATGGCTTCTAGGAGGCAATTAGAGACCGTGATGGCATTAAGCTGGGGAGGCAATTAGGGGTCAATTAGCTGCTTGCCAAAGTAATTAGGGAGTGAGGCTCTGGTGACGTCAGAGAGAGGCAGGGGGAAGTGCTTTTGACACCAGAATGACAGGACAGTTAATTCAGAGCAGAGGCAGCAGCCCCTCCTCCCCCCAAACCCCAGGGGACACCTCCATCCACAAGTCACTTGCTGTGCCCAGGGACCGAGGTGCCATCATTAGTCTCCAGGATTAATAGGACCCAGGTCACATGCACTCATGCAAGACCCAGGGCAAAAGCTGCCCCCTTCCTTCATTAGGCTCCAGCGCCTGAGCAGCAGCTCTATCACTGCCACCTCCACCCACCCCCAGTACATACATACCTACCTCCCTTATGCACATGCAGACCACCCTGTACGTGCACACTTACACTCAGCGTGTATAGGACATGGTAAATATAGGGTCTGCTGGAGCGTAACCTGTTAGTCAGTCTCTACACCCTGCCGTATTATCCCATACAGCCTGCAGAGCTGGTAGCCTGTACGTACACACTTTGTGCCACACAGCTGCCCCCAGCCCCACAAAGCAGGCCCGTACAGCCTGCCTGCATGTACATTGTCTAAAACCCCCTATATAAGACAAGTGGGCTGGGGGTGTACAGGCACACCAAATGTGGACACTTCATCCCATACAGCTGCTAGGGACTCACTCTATTTACCCTACACAGCGTAC